TATATATATATATATCTTAAAAAACTCATTGCCTAGGTGACACCTAGGTGCCCGCCTAGGTGAGTAGGTGACAAGGTGCTCTCCTATTGCCTAGCTTCGCCATGGTGCCTTGAAAACTATGGTGGATACACCTTTGAATTCCTCATAATCCAGGCTATCAATGAAGGTATTGATGTCTTTTTCTATATCCTCAACATCCTTGCATTTCTTTCTTCCCAAATTCCCCACAAGGCATTGATGTATCCTTAGGTCATTCCTTACCATTTTAGCTTTTCATTTACTTTAAGTCTTTGGCTTGCTTTGAGCCTTTTACTTGCACCTAGTTGTTACCTACAGTTGTAGTCATTGGTTCCCTATTGCACATGACCAAACATCTCAGTACAGTGGCAGTAACAAAAGGCCTGTAAAAAACTAAAATAGGCCGATGGCCCATAAACTAAATATGAAACATAAGAAAGAAAAAAACAACCATTAATTCCACTTTTATTACTTTCATTCTAGTCTCCCCCTCAAACTAGCACTAGCTAGCTTGCCTGAAGAGAAATAATATAATAATTGATAACAAAAAAAGACCTATAACAAAGACTTAGACTCTTGCTCTCCCTCTAAAAATTGTATTCTCTCACAAATTTAATCAAATACGCGCAACACACAAAGGATTGTGGTGCTAGAAACAGTTGAACAAGTTACAAAATAGAAACATGCATTATCAATTGTCTTCAACTGAAATAAATCAATTTATAACCAAAGAACCACTCTCCCTGTCTTATAATTGTCAAATCTATTGTTCCTTCAACCTTTAATTGGACATTTGAGCTCCTCCCAATAGTGTGCAAAACTAGATTGGCCTTCTAAATACACCAGATTCCCTAGAAACTCTAAGAATCCAAATCATCCACTCTAAAGTGATCTAAATAGACTAGAAATACCTATATGCCAATTGCAACAGTAGATTCCACGCAATATGCTGAACAGAAAACTTTCTCTGGTTCTTGATTATTTGGAGCATAGTTTCAAGACTTTTCTTTTGAGACCAATCAACCTTCAATTAGTTCTCCAAAAAATCATCTAAAACTAGGCAAGTCATCATCATCGTCCAAGTCTTATCCCAACTATATGGGATCAGCTACATGAATCCTGTTTTGTCATTCTGTTCTGTTTAATACCATATCCATTTTTAAATTATGGGGACTTAAATCACTTCTTACTACAACCCATGTCCTTTTTGGTCTACCCTAGCCCTTCTAGCCCTTTCAACTTCCAACAGATCACTTCTTCTTACAAGTGATGTTGGTGGTCTTCTATGGACATAACTAAACCATCTTAGTGTACTTTTTCTCTCATTTTTATCACCTATTGGAGCTGCTCCAAAACTAAATCAATTCAAAAATGAATAATATCTCCACCAATTATGAACCAATAGACCAAGAATAGGTGGGTGCTTGCTCCCTTCCTCAAAAAAAAAGTCTCTTTATCACTTCCTACCTTTGACAATTCCCATCTAGAGAACAACCTCTAGTGACCAAGGTTTAAAATGTTGATGTTAGTGGAAATGTTGGTCATCCAAATATAAGAAACATGTTGGAAATATCGTATGGAAATATTGTAAAAATTATAGACATGGTGGAAACTTTGTAAAATATGCAAAGTATAGAATGATATTTTATGGAATGATAAAAGAAGCATAGGCACACCTTTTTAAATTGTTATCTTGTTCCAAGATCATTAAACAAAGCTAAGAAACTAAGGTTATAGACAAAAGAATATGTTCTAAAGTTGCCTTGTAAACCTTAAGATTCAGAGTTTCATGATAGAATGAGTTAAAGGAAAATTTAAACTCATAGAAAATGTAAATGGTTGTAATAGATCAACGAAATAATCTATATCACAGACAAAAAATTAATATTTAACTTCATGTTTGAAATGAATATTGAGCTAGCTCAAAGTGGTAATCATGTAGGTGGACAATAAAATTGTTACTTCACATTATCTACAATATTGTCACCAACTTATGTTATAATACCATCTCTTGGGCTCCACATAGTACTGGTAGTGTTCACTGGGGAATATGTCGATTCCAGTAAAATTTAATGTCGCTACCCATGGAACTGGAAATGGAAATATATTGTGAAACTGTCTCTTGTACTCCACATGGTGCTGATAGTGTTCATTGGGGAAATGCTGATTCCTGTCAAATTTTGTGTTGCTACCCATGGATTTTTTTTTTTTTTTTTTTTTTTTGAAACAGGTAAAGTATTGAATTGCATTAAAATATCTGCAAAAACATAAACATAAGCCCATGTACAATGAGAGCCTGTACAGTGGGAATATACAAAAAGCGTCAACAAAAGAAAGGTCCAGCTTGCAAAAGAGAAAAGCTGGACACCCCTGAACGCCCTTTGTACACTTACCAATAACACAAAAAGCCTACAACCTTGTTTTTTACTGAAATCACATCAGAAAAGTTGTTGTCAAAGATTCGGCTATTCCTTTCCTTCCAGATGGCCCATAGGATGACAGATGGAAAGATCCTCCAAAGCAGTTTTCCCCTAGTGTTCAGACCCTTGAGGGACCATCCTTGCAGAAGTTGAAGAGCTGATTCAAGTAAGCAAGACTGAACTCCAAAGTAGGAGAAAGCCATTTCCCACAGTTGGGAAGAAAAACTGCAATGGAGGAAAATATGGTTGGAGGATTCAGGAGTTCCATTGCACAAGGGGCATAGGATGTTTGAAAGTAGCATCCCCCTTCTAAGCAGCTGACCAGTGGTTAGACATTTACCCAGCATTGCAGTCCAAACCAGGAAGGAAACCTTGGAAGGGGCATGAAAATCAAAATATGTCATGGGAATATTAGGCTACCCATGGAAATGGAAATATGTCATGGGAATATTAGGGAAATTAGGGACATTTTAAACCATGCTAGTGGCAACAATCAAACTTGAAGAAAATCTCTGATTTTCCCTTGATTTCGTGCAAAATCTCTTGGATATTTTCTTGGGCATCAAAAAAATTCTGAAAGATTCCCTAAAAATCTTCTGAAGAACCAAGCCATTTAAGTATGACACATGATTACTATTTTAGGAAAACATATTGTTTGTAGTAATTTATGAACATATTATTTATAGTAATTATCATAATTACTATTCAGAATAAAATCATGATTTACTGTTTATAGTAAAAGCCAGCTCTGATAACAGGACCCCCAAGAGGACAAAGATTTAGAATAGGGAGATCGAAGTAAATAAGAACCGAATGAAAAGTAGCCAAAATCAATGGAAAAAGGAAGAACAAACACCTAAGGAACCTCATAGTTTAGATATGATCATAATCAACTTCAGATATGATCATTATCAACATCATCATCAGAGTCTTCTTCATTTTGCTGTTATACCATCATCATCATCCAAGCCTTATGGGGTCAGCAACATGAATCCCATTTCACCATTCTGTTCCGTTTAATGCCATATCCATTATTAACTTATGGGCACTTAAATCATTTCTAAGTACTTCGACCCATGTCCTTTTTGGTCTACCCTATCTCTTCTAACTCCTTCAACTTGCAGCAGATCAATTCTTCTTGCTGTGATACTATCTACTCCAATAATTTAGAAATAATTAATTAAAGAAGTAATTTAAATCTGGTGTTAAAAGAAGAGAGTAGCAAAGATAGAAGAATAAGAGAAAGAAGGGAACAAGAGTGGAGATAAAATCAGATTGTGGGAGTCATAAGTGACCCCCAAACTCTCTTATATATTTGCTAGAAATATGTAGAAAATTGCAGTAGTCCACCTAGTAAAGGGGCAGTAGCAAAATACTGTTAAAAAAAATAAAATAGGTCCATGGCTCAATGACAATAAGTTCATAAACTAAATAAGAAACAGTAGGAATCTGCTGAATTAAAAAATATGAAAGAAAGTAGTTTCTTGAAGAGAGAAGGAAGAAAGAAGGAGAAGAAAAGAAGAGAAGTTGAAAAGAAAAGAGAGCAATAATCTGGCCGCCCCCTTCACTTATTATTTATACTAAAATAATAGAACAGTACAAAGACAACTATGCCCTTATAGGGCGGAAAAACATAAAACAGCATATATAACACTCAGAAACATAATAAAATTTGGACTCACATAACTACTGTGGTCCCCACCTCCTGTCTAACAACTAACATAAAACATCTACTCAGAAAAACAGCATAAAACTAATTAATCTTCAACAGAAACATAAGAAATTACAAGATCAAATGCTATCATCATCACCATCATCATCATCATCATCCATGCCTTATTCTAACTATATGGAGTCAGCTAAAAGGCAGAACCATTTGCTCCCTGACTGTATCTTCTATGCTATGCAAAATAAAAAGTTTAATCTCCAGCCTCATTTCTTTCTCAATGACTGTATCTTCTATGCTATGCAAAATAAAAAAGTTGCATCTCCAGCCTCATTTCTTTCTCCATGACTGTGTCTTCTATGCACCCCATCATATTCTACAGTTTCTTTCCCTTCATGATTATTTAAGTCTCCTCCGGTAAATATCCTTTCCCCAATTGTAATTTCTTGAACTAGTTTATTGAAAATTTCTCAAATTTTCCTTTAATTTTTCATTTAATCCTACTTGAGGTGCATAAACACCAGTTATTTTAATTATCTCTTATCCTAGGATGAGTTAAATTAATATAATGAGTTAGTATTGGTGTGTCCATGCGTATCTAGATGCACCAATACGGATACGAATACGATTTGCCCAATACGGGGCCTATTGGTGTGTCCATACTTTGGCATCTAATGTTGATTAGAGTCAACATAGACAATGAAAGTCTGGATTTACTTTGTGAAACAAAACTGTGCATGTGCAATATTTTTCGTAGTTACTTTTTTTCTTATTTTTTTATTCTTATGCAGTACACTCAACACCAAGTTGGCATGTTAGAAGATGGTATCAGAAAATCCTGGATGCTTGTTAAACCTTGTCTCTACCAAAGATGGAGTAAGTTCTATCTTGTTATCTATTGTTGGGCATGTTACCTATATGTACAAATTGTAAAGGATCCAGTGGAAATCACAGAGACATTTTGATTGTGTTTGGTACCATTTCTGTTTCTACCTGAAATGTTTTGGGTTGATGGTGAGAGATATGTCACTTCAGCAAGAATGATTAGACTTCACCCCCCTGGAGCAAGAAACGTCAATTTGACGTTTTTACAAACAGCATCCCGCACATGCATCAAGGCATGCCTATTTCAACTATAAACAGCCTAAAATAACAGTTGTACGACAATTTGTATTGATCAGCCCAAAACATTTCAGATAGAAACAGCAATGGTACCAAACACAACCTTTGTTTCTAAAATGAAGGCTGCACCTACAAACAAATAACAGAAAGATCACTTAACTGAATTCCAAAAAAAAAAACAAATCTTTATTCAACATTTCAGATAGAAACAGCAATGGTACCAAACACAACTTCTATTCCAAAAGACAAATCTGTACTCAGATAATGTATTCTTCTCCAATTTCTCTCATATGAAGTAGAATTCTACCCTTGATCTTCAAGAGATAGGTGAAAAAGCAAGAGAGGAAAGGAGAAGAAGAAAAAAGAGAAAATTTGGGAAAAGTTGTAATTGGTTTCACAATACTTATTGCCTTCTCTTTTTAATTCTTCTGTATAATTAAGTGTAAATTACAATAATGCGCCATTTATCAAAAAAAAAAAAAAAATTACAATAATGTGCTTGGTCCAGTGTGGCACATTATTTCATCCAAAGGTGATCCCAAAGACTCTTAACAATACAAGTAATTCTTTCCATCAAAGTTTACTGCGGTAATTTGTATTCCTGGCTGAATACCCATGCCAATTAATACACTGGTACCACTTGAACTAGTCTGATTATGGAAAATACCACTTGTAGAAGACAAAATTAATAATACCACTGGCCACTGTACTGATTAAACTAAGAATAGAAGAGAAATTTATCACTCCCAAGTTAACACCCAATTACACTTGATTAGAACTTCTAGGGGACTCAAACGCTTCCTGGGATTTAGCCTAAAGGAATCAATATAATTGTAAAACAGCAAGAGAATGATATTGGTTTCAAAAGCAGAAATCCGTATAGTCTAGCAACATCATCCAAGCTCCACATGTGATCTATGATGACTCAGATACAGATACAAGTACAATGGATATAGGAAAGAGGGAAACAGCTCTCCATTTCCTAAAATCCCCAGACATGGAAATGGGTACCAGTATCCCATAAAATATGCTTGTATCATGCTTTTATATCAAGTTTTTGTAGCCAAGTGTTATTTCTTACAATTTATGTCTTGACAAAGCTACATTTCTAATATGTATAGAATTTTTAGCATAATTTGTTAAAATATACCATTTTACATATTTTAAAAGTATTAATTCTATAGAGTACATCTAGAAGTGTCCATGCAATATCTGGTAACTATTGTGTTTGATACTGCTACACTAGGCATGTACAGGTATCTGGGATCATAGATTGTGACTGCGTGTAGTCTAGGAAGAACATTTCTTATGTTGGGTCTGGGAGGAGATAATATACTGCTGCTTCCTTGATACTAAACCAAATCCAACCAAGTCAGATTGTTTAGATCAGGAAATATGATTAGGGTCGAACTGTTACAGGTCCAATCCCCAACAACTTCAAGATTATATCACAACTAGAAAACTCCATACTTGATTCCTTTTGTATTCTCTTCAAAACAATTGCAAAAAGGTCATATATACACACACCTTCAAAAACATTGAAAAAAATTACTTTGTCGAATCCAATAAAGATCTATCAAACTGCAAGATTCATCTGATTCATAGTTCTGTGTTCATAATGGTACTGGTGTCACCTAACACCATGATGTCAGAAAGGTATCATGTTGCTGTCTTTGTTCCTCTGTCAATTGCTCTGTTACAAGGTTGTCTTCTTAGATAATTAGATTAGTTTGTAGAAGAGAAGACAGAGAAGATGAGAGTACTGAAGGAGAGAAAGAACTTTTTGGAGAAATTGTGGAAATAAGTTACATGCCTATCCTTCATTCTTTTTATTCATAAATTAACTTATATGAAGATTATATTAATACCCCTGATATGCGTTTCTCTTCTATGCTAATTGGTAGTCCCAACTCCCAACGATTCTTAACAACATGATAATATTCTTGAGGATTTAAGTTGTAATGTCTTCATTATGCAATTTTGTTCTCATGATAGGGCTGTTAAGCAATAATTTCCATGTGTTTCAATATTATGTCATGATATACCATTTGAAAGATTACTGTTCAGATAAAGTACTTGTCTTCTACAGAGAAAGAACAGCTTCCCGGGCCCCTGAAGGAAGGCATAACAAGATGCTTCAAGTCAGTTGATGAGATCTTTACTGCCTTTAATAGCATCAAGAAAACTACAGTTGGTGCAATTGACAAGATCTGTGACTTCATTGGTGAGCTAGAACTCTACTCYCTGCTTGACTTTACAAATTTTTAGTCAGGATTATAGCTGATTCAAAAAATAAAAATGAAAACCAAACTAGGAGTTTCTGCCTGATTGAATGGGGAGGGATGTTAGTGGTATGGGCTGTAAGAGATATCAATATTTAGAAAAAAAAAATCAGGGGCTTTTTCTGGAAGTAAGCATCTCAAAACTCATGTATCATAGAAAAATGGGTGATTTTTTTCGCATTTCTTCTTTAAGTATTTGTTGCTTTTGTGGCCTTGTAGCAGAATTGCCCATCTTAATGAAATTTCTTTTTATGGATTTTTCCCTATAAAGAATGGTATGCATTTCTGGATGTTTGCATGCATATCAAGGTATGCTGCTAGATAGATTAACATATTCATCACTTGGTTTAACACTAACAGTGTAAAGTCCACTGATTAAAAACCTGGAGGCATGAAACAAAGTATCAGGACCTTTACATGATGCTTGAGAGCTCAAAGCTTAAGCTTCATGACTTAATATTTTTCTATAAAGAATGAAACTAAAATAAGAAAAGGCATAGAAATATGCACAAGGGTTATATTTTTTATGTAGGAATAGGATTGCTATATAAATGTGTGGTAAAATAAAGAGGAAGAGAAGAAGAAATAAAGAGGGAGAGAAGAAGAAAAACTTCTGTATTGATAATGTGTTGATAAAACATGTTGAGCATWCAACTTAAATAAGAAAAGATAGGAGAGACAAACTCCTAGAATCTCTCTCAATTAGGGATTGATTAAATCTTTCCCTTAATCCTAGGATATGACTTTCCTAATTT